GCCTCTACAATAAGTCGAAACTCTCTGAGATCCGGCGGCTGGGGAGGACGTCTCTTGAGCAGGGGCTGACCGTCCCCGCATTCCTATAGGCCTACCACGGGATGTTCTTAGAACCCAAGAATGTTCGAAATAAGAAACACAATGATCTTAGAACATAAATCCGATGTGTTAAAACAAGACAGTCCCAGCCAGAACTGTTCTAAGAACAGTTCGTGGAAATTGCAAAAGGTTGCTATAACAATTTTTGGTAGGCCTATAGGCACGCCAGGGCGCTCCGCCGCTGCTTGAGTCTCGGGCGCCACGGTCTTCTCAGAGAGTTGGGCGTTCCAGAACGCTCCGAGAGCGTTCTGGAATGCTCCAGAACGGGTTGATCCTCGTCCTAAACTTCGGTCAGGCATGTCCCCCTACAGGCGGATTTTGGACGACAAAAATTAAGAATAGTCACAAACAACCATCATCAAGCATTGGACATGCCCCAAAATAGTCACAAACAAATTGTATCAATAAGACAAAGCAGCAAAAAACGTCACCTGACTTTTTTGACTATGTTTGAATACTCCTCCTGTAAGTAGAGGGACAGGCCCGACTTACGAGTAGCACACACCACCGCCACGCACACGGCGCGGAATTCAAGGTGGGGCCCTCTCGGGGACGCACGGACCCCGGCCAATGCAAGCCCGGGTCGGTCAGGCCTCGCATGATGCATGGATCCTGCAAGATCCTGCAAGATACCGAGCGCTAGCGTGGGTCAAGGCACCCCTGGCTCTGCAGGACCCCGCAAGATCCGGCGCTCTGGCTGACCCCCGCTTGCACTGACCCCCGTCGCAAGGCTCCCGACTTCCTGGAAAGAGGCTGCCTCGTACCCAGACCCCCGACGTAATGATTTTTTCGTTACGTCGACCCCAGGGGTCCCGACCCTTTCCCCAGGACCGGCTTTGCATCCTGAGTCGTTTTTTGACGCTCCCAAGGCCCGGTGAGGGCCCCCCGAGGCCGAAAATTAGGAAAAAAAACCCGTCGTGATTTTTTCATTACTCGAGGGGGTCTGGGCTCCCGACTTCCTGGAAAGAGGCTGCCTCGTAGATCGAAGGCGCCGGCCCTACACCTGTAGACGAGCGAGGGCGCCCCGGGCGGCCGAGGGAGGAAGGCCGAGTGCGGAGGGCGGGGGCGAGCGAGCGAGGACGAGGGCGACGACAGCGACGACGAGAGCGACGACGGGGCCTCCGACGACGCCACGCGAAGACGACGAGGCCCCCCCAGGGAGGAGGAGAGACCAGGCAAGCATCGGCGGTGGACAAACCTCCCTTTAGTAGACCCCTCACCTTAGTGAAAACGGCCTGGGACCGAAACCGACGGACCTGGACCCGCAAAGATGACGGCCGCGACGCCCTCTCGCGAACCGAAAACGGCCAATTCCTCAATCGACGTGTCAGGGTAGGAGGTCTGTCCAACCCCGAAAGCAGCACGCATCATTTCCACAAGACGCACTCCCCCCCCCTCTCCCCCCTCCGCTCTTCTCGTGGCCGACCTCCGCACGGCAGGGCAGGCGCCGCGCGAAGCGGCACGCGCGGCGCGGCCACTGAGAGTCGGGGATGGACAGGCCTCCCTTTGGTAAAACGTGGTTTCGTGAAAACGACCTGCTCGCCATCGCTCGGACGTCCATTCCATGTGTTTTTTTTCGGTTTCGTGCGTGGTTTTCTCGCCAAATGATCAAAGATGCTCCTCGATGCTCCTCGCCGAGAAGAAAATGCACACGTCCAAGCGATGCCAGGCTGAGGCCCAGACCTGGCGGGCGCAGGCCTGGAAAAGAGCGGCCACGGCGCCCTCTCGAGAACCGAACACGGACGATTCACGAATCGACGCGTCGCTGTTGGGGTCTCTGCCCCCCCCCCCGAGAGCTCCGGGACGCCGCAGCAACTGCGTCGCACTGGGCGCTGCCGCCCAGTCTCTCGGGCGCCTGGGCCGTCGCCGACGTCGACTCCGCTCGGAGGATGCAGCAGAGAGCCCAGACCCCGTATTGAAACAATCAGGACGTCGCATGTCTGGGAAGAAACCTTCCACGAGCAACCCAGCCCTGAGACCTCAGGACGCCCAGGGATTCTTGGGATCGGAGCGTCACGCGTTCCATTGCCAGACCATCGAGTCCCAAGAAACCCAGGGCATCCTGGAGCTCAGGCCCCCGACCTGGTGACTTCTTCATGACGTCGACCCCCAGAGGGTCCCGACCCGCTCCCCGTGACCGGCCCTGCATCCCGAGCCGTTCCTGGACGCTCCCGAGGCGCGGCGAGGGCCCCCCGGAGGCCGAAACGCAAGAAAAAACACCCGTCACGATCTGGAGGCGGAGGAGGAGGAGGAGGAGGAGGAGCAAGAGGAGGAGGAGGAGGAGGAGGAGGAGGAGGAGGAGGAGGAGGAGGAGGAGGAGGAGGAGGAGGAGGAGAGGAGGAGGAGGAGGAGGAGGAGGAGGAGGAGGAGGGAGGATGACTCGAGGGGGTCTGGGCGGGGCGCCGGTCGGGGTCTTTCGCGCCGCCGCACCTTTACGTCGCGGCGCCGGAGCTCAGGAGCCCTCGGCGGCCCCCGGAAGGCCCCTGCAGGCCTCCGCGGCCCCGAGGGCAAAAAAGCTTCGGCCGCGGCGGCGCGGCCGCCCTGCGCCTCGCAGGCGGCCCGGGCGCCCCGGATCTCGGCGGGGCAGCCCGAGTGGTCGGGGCGGCGCGGGCAGCGAGGAGCGCCAAGGCTGCCGAGGGAGAGGGCAGAGAGCCAAGCTCCCAGAGCTCCAACGCATAAAAAAAATCAAGGCGGAGGTGTTTCTCAAATCTCGGTCCCTGGGGGCCCTCGCCGGGCCTCGGGACCGTCAAAAAACGACTCAGGATGAAAAACCGGTCCTGGGGAATGGGTCGAGGCTTCCAGGGACCGCGTATGGAAAAAATCACGACATCGGATCTCTGGGCTTCCACTCTGCTGCTCCTTGCCCCCCCTTCCCCACCGGTGTCTCGTCGTCGTGCTCCTACAGCCCTCCTCGTTCTCGTCCGCAACCTCTGCCGCCACCTCGTCCTGGTCTTCCTCGATCTCGTGCTCCGCCTCCTCTTCTATCTCCTCGCTCTCGTCCCCACTGTCCACCTCATGTACCTCCTTTTCTCTCCCTGCTCCTCCTCCTCCTCCTTCCTGCTCCTCTTTCTTATCCGTGTTGCTCCTATGTCTCCTCCCCTTCGTCTTCTTCCTCCTCCTTCTCCTCCTTCAACCATTGACAGTCATATAACTCATCTGTTTTACTGTTTACTCGTCCGACTGACGGAAAATGAGCTTCTGTCTGCGACCGGATCCAACCTGCTTGAAGGGGCCCAAGGACACACAAATAAATACACACAAATGAAAAGATTCCCAATATGTTCCCATATTTTGGGGGTTTTCGTCTCCCCCCCCCACTTCCCATATTTTCCTATATTGTTTTCTGGGATCAACGATTAATTGTGTCCGTGTGTTGTTTGTCCCTCCTGACTGCTGAAGTCCAGGCTCGCGCTCTAGGCGTGCCCCACGGGGTTCCTCTGGCGGCGGCCTCGTCCTCGCCTGGCGTGATCCCCCTTACCACTGCAGCCGCCCCCCCCCCCATCTTGTAAAGGCTCCAAAATGACAGGGGAAAGATTTTGCGTTCGATGCCTGTTGCCCTCCGCTGGGATTTCGAAAACATTGGAAAAAAGCGTTCCGTAACCATTTTGGCTCGAGTCAGCGATCTTTTGTTCGCTTGAGCGCGCCATGGATGTAGGTTCCGCGAAGAAGCGCAACAGCAATCGGATGGAAGGCAACCATCACCGTCGCACGGCTACAACAAAACATTTCCATACCAAGACGCACTGGAGAAATCGAGAGATGAACTAAACCCTGTCTGATGAGGCTCCCAGGAGGCCCCTAAGAGCCATCTAAGATTCCCCGACAGTCCCAAAAGAGGTCACAGAAGGCCTTCCAAGAGACCCCCAGAGGCCTCTTAGAGGCCTCCGAAATACAACCCCGGCACGGTGACGGTGTGTTATCGATGCTGCGCGTCAGGCTGGCCAAAGCCGCCCCCAAGCTGTGGGAGCCAGATGCTTGTTCGACGCAACCCTGCTTGTTCGGCAGACATATTCGACTCGGGAGACCTTGAACCCAAAAACGTTGTCATCCCTTGGGTGCACATCTTTTACTGCTGTCGCCTTCCGCCGGCGGACGCGGCCTCGTTTTACTTCCGCCGACCTTCCGCCGCCGTTCCGCCGAGGAAGAGACGCCAACTCCTTCGATGCTCGAAGGCAAGGCCTTCTGTGGAACGTCTCACATGATGATTAGCATCTCGCGCATCAACAAACTGCACCCTTCTGCAGCATGGCTGTTCCGCAGCACCACCGCTGCCGCAACATGTCGCTTGTGGACTTCTCAGTGTAAGCCCTGGGGCGACTGCGGATGGCTGGCGGCGAACAAGCGAGGCAGGTTCAAGAGAGCATGCATCCCTGAGGGCCGCATGCTGCTTGCATCTGGGGCCAGTTCCCTCCCTGCCTTCCCAACATGCTGCCCCCCATCACCCTGCGGGGGGCAACGATCGGGGGGGCAGCTCCAGCCTGGAATCGGCGGTACATCGCCGATTGATTGGCGATGGGCCCGCGATGGGCGGGGTGGGCCATCGGGCCCCCCCATCGGCGACCACTGGGCGACTGGGTGTCGGTGGTGCACCCCCCCCCCCCGAGCCTACAGTCGGGGCGTTGACCTAAGGAACGATAAATAAGGAACGAGGCCCCTTTTTCCCATAAGTGAAACTCCGATGTTCCATGAAAAACCTGGGGAAAACCCAAGGAGCGCTGTAAAACGACTAAGGAACACGGAGCCCCTCCCAGACGAAAAGGGTTCCTTCTTCAGGGCCCCGACTGTATCTCACCCTGAACTTTGCCCGTGGAGAATACTGCTCCCATGACTCCGGCGCCCACTCGATCGCCGCCAGTGCTGTCCTATGTCCTGGGCGGGACGGTTTAAAAACAAATTGGTTTGGAAAATCGGATGCCGCACATCGCCGCCGCTTGAATAAAAAAGCGCGTCGGGTGCCGCTGGGCGACCCGGCTGCAGGGAAGGAGAAGCGTGGAGCCAATACCTCCGACGTTGTGGTCGGCTCCCTCCCGGCACTGCTTCGCATGCGCGGTCCCCGAAGTCCGGACCGCCTCCCCGGGAACGGCTTTTCTGAAGGGGCCCCAGGACACACACACACACATAAATACACTCAAATAAAAAGATTCCCCATATTTTCCAATATTTTCTGGGTTTTTGTCTTCCCCCCCACTTCCCATATTTTCCCATATTTTCTGGGAAGTCGACGATTAATTGTGTCTGTGTTTTTTCCCATCCTGACCCTTCCCTGGGAACGGCTTTTCATCCAGAGTCATTGTTTGACGGCCCCGAGGCTTTTTCATCCAGACGCATTGTGTGGCGGCCCCCCCGAATCACCGCAAACGATGCCACACCTCCGTCACGTCTTCCTCCACGACTGGAACAGGTCTGGGCATCGCTGCCCGATGCGCAGCACGCAGTCCGCAGCGCAGCACGGAGCTCAGCACCCGGCTTGAGAACTTACGTTGGGCGCGATTCGATGCTTTCACCGAGCCGTGGGCCAACACGTTTGGTGTCCGTTCCATGGGAGCCTGCGTGGCCCCCGACACTGTCCAATTTGGGCCTGATTTGGACCAGATTTGGGACAAATTTGGACTGGATTTGGACCAGACTTGGACTGGATTCGTGGGGGCTAGGAGAACGAGGAGGGGGAGGGGGAACAGGAGGGGAGAGGAGGAGCAGGAGGCTGGGCCAAATGCAAGAAAAAAGCTGACTTCAATGTCGCCGCCCAAGGCTCCCATGAACAGACATCGAGAACACGGTGTGCCAACACAACGCGCATCACACCACCGACGTGCTGATCGCGGCACGTGCGGCGCTCCGACCGAAGCCAGGACGAGCACCCGCCGGCCCCCTTTATGTGGCCACCAGCCTCCAGGGCGAGGCCGATGTGGCATCACAGCAGCAATTCGGCCCCTGACTTTCGTCCTGGGCTCGGTTTAGTGAAGTGCTGAATTTCGGGGTCCTTTTGTGGGAAAAGGCATCACTTCACTAATCTGGGGCCCCTGGGGCCTCAGTGGGCCCCAGGGCCCAAAATTAGTGAAGTGATGGTTTTCGGGCCTTGGATCTAGGGCGCAGTTGCTGCTCCCTGCAGCTGGTTGCAGCTTCAAGTCTCCAGTGTTACAGTCCTGCTTTCGGCCTCCTACCGCAAATTGTTGAAGTCCGCGCGAGAGGGGGGGGACCCCCAAACCAGCCATTCACCACGCCAGGATCGCGTGGACTGAATTCCCGGGATGGCGTGGGACAGGTAACAATGCGTGAGATTCGCGCCCCCGAGGCCATCATCTCTTGTAAATTACACCGTGTGCGCGTCTCCGAAGCCACAAACCCTCGTAACTTGCGCATTTGTTGTGTCCCCGAGGCAGCAAACCCTAGAAAGTTAAACAATATTCGCGTCCCCGAAGCCATCAACCCCCACAGACTACGCCAGATTCGCATTGCCGAGGCCACGATTGCTCCAAGGCGCCCGAAGATGGCTCCAAGACGGCCCATGGAGGGCCCCCCGAGGACCAAAGAGCGTTCCAAGAGGCCTCACGAGAGGGCCTCAAGAGGCCAACATCGCAGATTTTACAACAGGTGTTTGAGGGCTTTGGGCCTTCTCGTATGCTCGGCTTTCCGACGCTCCAAGAGGGCCCAAGAGGGCTCCAGGATGGCCCAAGAAGCGCCCAAAACGGCCCAAGAAGGCCCCAAAACGGCCCCAAGAGGGGCCCAAGCAGGGGACCACGGAACGAACATTCGATATTTGTGCCCCGAGAAGCCCCCTGGAGGCCCCAGGAGGCCGTCAACTGGCCCCAAGAGGCGCCCAAGAGGCGCCCAAACCGCCTGCAAGAGGCCCTCGAGAGGCTCCCCACGACACCCCAGCACCTATACAAGAGGCCTTAGACCCACAACCCAGGCACGGTGGCGGGATGGGCCGAAGGCCACTGAGACAACGCCAACGCCTCAACATGCGCTCATGATTCCTATCCGCCCCCCGCATGACGCTACCAGATACGCCAAAGGCATCGCGAGACGCACCGACGCGACTCTCTTTTTGTTGTTGTTGTTGTTGTTGTTGTTGTTGTTTTTGTTGTTGAATATTATTACTTCTAAAGAATAATTATTGTTGGGCCCCCTGGTGCACGCCCCCCTCGCCGCGCCTAGGCCGCAGCCACGTTTTCATCATTTTCGTGAGGAAGCCTCAGGTAAAACGATGTGATCCAGATCCGGTTGTTTTGTTGTAATCCGTTTTCCCTTGCAAAAAACACTATAAAATGACATTTCTTGTTCTAATATAATCAAATTTCAAGAATCCCTTGCAAAAAATAAGGTAAAGTGGACATTCGCGCGCGCAAGACGAAATCCTTCCAAAACCTTAGTGTTCGGAGCGATTTTAACATAAAAACATCAAAAAACCAATGGTTTTTCAACAAAAAATGTCAAAATCTCATCCCGCGCGCTCTTGCGGATTCGTAGGAAACCCAACACTTTTTAAACATTTCTGTCAAACGGGCTTTTGCGAGCAACTTTTTCGAACTTCTGCGACAACGGTTGCGCACCTGCCAGGGCCATCATCCCTGTCAAATAATACCATGCGGGACACATTCGTTTTTTCTTCGCGCGCGCACGCCGTCGTCGTCGGCCGCGGGGCCCTGAATAGTAGCCACGGTCGTCCGCATGCCACGAAGTGAAGTGTCCGAACGTCATAGGGCGGGAAGCTGGGTGTGGGTGGTGGCGAAGAGTCGTTTGGAAATTTGGTAGAGCTTGAACCGGCCCCCCCACAAAGTGGGGGTATTGCCCGCCTCCTATGAAAACCCTGGCACTGGTGAGAACGGAGTGTCCCCACGTGCTAGTAATTGTTGTTGTTGTTGTTGTTGTTGTTGTTGTTGTTGTTGTTGTTGTTGTTGTTGTTGTTTGACATCCGGTACAGCGAACGGCCCCCCAAGGGATCCAAAATCGACGGGCTAGCATCCCCAAAATCTGCAGCCCGAGAGAAAGCTGGAGGCCCAGGCCCGCCTGCGGGCGATTGCCCCGCGGCAGGGGGCGAAGCCCTTATATACGGATTAAACCGAGCGAGGATGCATCGAGAATTTCTCTGAGATCTGGCGGCTCCGGAGGACGCATCGGGCGCCGCAGCCTTCTGAGAGCGCTCCGCAACGCTCTGAGGGCGTCCTGGAACGCTGTGGAACGGATTTCGGGGAGACGTACAGTCGGGGTCCTGAAGAAGGGACCCTTTTCGTTGGGGAGGGGCTCCGCGTTCCTTCAGTGTCTCGCCGCTTGCCTCAGGTGTTCTTTATGTTTTCGATCTGCAATTGAAGTCTAACTCATGGAAAACAGGGGCCTCCTTCCTTATTTTGGGTTCCTTAAGCCAAGGCCCCGACTGTAAGACTCGGGTCCGGGGGACTCGGGTTGCCCTGACGGGGCCATCATGAAAGCGACGAATGGAAATTCGACGCGAGCTCGAAGACCGTCAACCAGATTACCGCCGGGAGCCTCGTAGAGCTCTTTCCTCGCGCGGCGCTGCTCGGAACACATGGAAGGAGCTTCCTCAAGCGTGAGCTGAAAAATTCGAAAAAACACGTTTTGTGTTTCATCCAAAGTCGGTTCCGCCAAGTGTTTTGATAGTAATACTGCAGCTACGGACCTAAGAATTTCACTGGCAGACGCGACATAACCCACAAACCTCCCACGAAGACCGAACCGTCCAGATTCGGGACGCGCTCGTCAGAAGGCGTCGGCAGGCCCGAGCTCCGGCTTGCTCGAGCCCTACGTCTCCCCGAGGATCCATCTTAAGGGGCCCTGGGGCACACAAAGAAATACACACACATAAAGTGCTTCCCCCATTTCCCATATTTTCAGGGTTCTTGTCTTCCCGCCCAATTCCAATATTTTCCTATATTTTCTGGGGGATCGACGATTCATGGTGTCTGTGTTTTTTCCCCTCCTGACTATCTGAAGGGGCCCCAGGACACACAAATAAATAGACACAAATAAAAATATCCCCCATATGTTCCCATATATTTTCAGGGTTTTTGTCTTCCCGCCCAATTCCCATAGTTTCCAATATTTTCTGGGGGATCGACGATTCATGGTGTCTGTGTGCTTTTTCTCCCCTCCTGACTATCGTCGTCCCCGCCGCGCCCGAAAAGCCACGACGTCGGAGGCGCGCCTCCGGACCAGGGTCCGTCCGATTCCGCCGTGGCCTGGTTCGGTGGCAGCTCGCGGGCGCCTCCCATAATGGAGGATGACGATTCGTAAATGACCGGGGGTCGTGTTCACGCGGCGGCGCCCGGGATGACGATCAGAAAAAACTGGCCGCGGGCTGGACAACTATGCTTTTAATCGTTCTCATCCGGTAAGAAAACTGTGCAGAAATAGCAGAAAGCTATTGCTTAATCTTTCTCTCTCATTTTTTGAATTAATCGTCATCCCGCATTAATGCGGGATGCCGATTAATTCAAAAAATGAAAGAGGAATATTAAACAATCACAGTTTTCTGCTATTTCTCCACAATTTTCTGACTGGAGGAGAACGATTGGAAAGATAGTTGTCCAGACCGCGGCCGGTTTTTCCTCATCGTCATCCCGGGCGCCGCCGCGTGAACACGACCCCAGGTCATTTATTAATCGTCATCCTCCATTACCATCTTACCAGCTCTTGCGAATCGACGCCAGATCGACGCTGGATAGACGCCAACCGACGCGAATCGACAACGCATCGGTGCTATCTCATCGATGCCAGACGCTACAACCCCCCATTGACGTAGCGAATCCCTACCCGAAGCTGACCCAGGCCCTGTCGACACTGCCACGGCTAACCTGGCCCATGAAAATGAACGTGGCCAACGGCTCGGCGATACCATTCCGCGCGGGCCGGGCTCGGTGTCACCGAGGCCCGGGCTACGTGAGGTGGGTAGTCTACGTTAGGGGTGGGACTCGGATCGACGCGAATCGACGCTAAAGATGGAATTCGGAGGGCATACCAGGCTCCCATGATTTGCAACCGAAGCCTGGGGCTTGGGCGCCCGAGTTATCCGGGGTAACTCGGGTCCGGGGTAACTCGGGTTTGGATTCCCGATAAACCAACCCGAGTTAGCCCTGACCCGAGTTGCCCCTGATGATGTGGGGCTCTGGACGCCCGAATGATCCGGGGTAGCTCGGGTCCGGGGTAACTCGGGCTCGGAATCCCGAAACACGAACCCGAGTTAGCCCCGACCCGAGTTGCCCCTGATGATTCGGGGCTCTGACAGAGGTCCCGACCCTTTCCCCATGACCGGCTTTGCATCCCGAGTCGTTTTTTGACGCTCCCGAGGCCCGGTGAGGGCCCCCAGAGGCCGAAAATGAAGGAAAACCTCCCGTCATGATTTTTTCATTGCTCGAGGGGGTCTGGGACCCGAGTTGCCCCTGATGATTCGGGGCTCTGAGGGGCTGGGCCCCCCCCCGCAGAGAGCCGCGCGGGAGCGCCGCAGCTCCCGCCCGCGCGGACCTCGGGCCGAGGGCAAGGCAGCCCGGCGACGCGGCGGGGGCCTTGCGGGCACGGCCTTGGGCCCTGACCTTCCAGAGAGTTATTTTTTGACACTGGAGGCCTCAAATGGGAGGCACAAGGACATACTAGTACTGTATGTTCTCCTTGGAGGCGCGCGTCCGACCCAAACATATAGTATACCCATCGTGTAGTATATCGTTTCCCGAGCGGTGTGGCCAGAAAGCGCCCGCCATGACGCGTATACTATAAGATTTCTCGGTGCGCGCGTCGCCCCTGAGGGGGCGACGCACATATAGTATAAGTATGTTGGGGTGACGCCGATAAAAACCTAAAGGAACTAGAGAAACAGCCTGAAACCAAGACGCAGAGTGGCTCCGGGGTAGGTTTTTTTTAGACCGGTGCAATTTTTTAGCCCTCCTGGAAGGTCAGGGGAGCGCCTCGGTGGTCGCCAAGCCCAGACCTCCTCGCGATGTGACAAAGATCTCGACTGGAGGGTTTTCGCCAGTTTCGGCCACAGGGGGCCCTTCCCAGGCCTCGGGGCCGTCAGGAAACAACTCGGGATGAGAGACGGGTCCCGGGGAGGGGATCCAGACTCTGGGAGTCGCGTCATGGGTCTGAGCAGGGGCTCCTGACCCAAGGTGCCCCCGACTTTCTGCTTAATCTCGCCATCGCTCGGACGTCCATTCCGTGTGTGTGTTTTCGGTTTCGTGCGTGGTTTTTTTCGCCAAATGATCAAGGATGCTCCTCGATGGTCCTCGCCGAAGGAAAAATGCACACGTCCGAGCGACGCCGAGTAATTTTGGAGCTCCTGGGGCTCTCTGGGCCTCGTGAGGGGGTGCTCTGGAGGCCGTGGGGGCCTCAAGGAACTCCAGGGGGGAACCTTCTCTAGGGCCAGGAGTACTTCTGGCAACATCCGAGCGGCGGACGTGCACAAATCCCCGGAGTGGAGTACACTGAAGGGGCCCTGGGACACACAAGCAAATACACACAAATAAGAATATGCACCATATGTTCCTATCTTTTCTGGGTTTTTGTCTTCCCCCCCACTTCCCATATGTTCCAATGTTTTCTGGGGACTCACCGATTCATTGTGTCCACGTGTTTCTTTCCCTCCTGATGCACTCGCAGTGGTCAGGCTCTGGGCTGCGCACAGACAGCCCCCCCCCCCAGGCAGCCCCAGCCGGCCTCAACCGGGTACGGGGGACTCGGAAATCCCCGACGAGGTCGTCAAAAAAATGACGAGGCCGAGCCTGCATTTTGACAAGGCCTCCCGCTGCAGACATCCCACGAAACTCCTCCTCGTCAAAATCCGAGTCGCGGTCGTCAAAAAACGATGGCGAACCCGAGTCCCGGCAAACCCGGGTCTTACGCTCCCCCGAACAGTCATCGGCCTGACCTAAGGAACGATAAACAAGGAACGAAGCCCCTCTCTTCCAAGGAGTAACGCATAGGGAGCGATGAACAAATAATACCCAACGCACAGCGAACCATAAATAACGCATGCAAGCCTGAGGAACGACCGAACCCCTTCTGAAAAGTAAGTCTTCCTTATTCAAACCGCTCGCTGTAGTCCGGGGCGGCCTCGACGCCGCGCCAAGGTGTTGAGACCGCCCAGGACTACTCGGGTGGGCTGTTGGAGCCAGCTGGGACTGCTCGGGGGGGCTGTTGGAGCCAGCTGGGACTACTCGGGGGGGTCTGCTGAGGCCGGCCGGGACTGCCTGGGGGGGGGGGGGGGCGCAAGCCACACCAGCACGGGACGGGGGGAGAAACAACAAAAGCCACAGAAGGCTCCCCAGACCCCCGACGTCATGATCGTTTCTGAACGTCGACCCCCAGAGACCTCGATTCCCCGGGACCGGCTTCTCATTCACGGCCCCGAGGCTGGGCAAGGGCCCCGCCACAGGCTGACGGCAGCGACAAGCTGTCTGCCGTGCTCTGCTGCATGGCCCGAGGGGGACTGCTGTGGCGCGCAGCCCGAAGCCTCATGCCGACTCGGGAGGGAAGAGAGAGAGAGGATGCGGCTCGGGAGGAGCGCGAATCGATGAGGGGGCGAAGCGTGAGGGGGGGGGGGGGAAGAAGGGCGCCCGAGGGCCTCTTTTCGACAGCCCTCGCTGCCCCCCCCCATTCCCAAGCCCCCGTCGCCACGATCTGCTCCTGACGTGACCCCCCAGAGGCCTCGACCCCTCTCCCGGGACCCGCACCTCGTGCGCGGCGTCGCCCTTCCGCGGCCCCCCGGGGGCCCAGCGAGGGCCCCCCGGGGGCCGAAACACTCGGGAAGAACCTCCCGTCGTGACTCTTCCTCATGCCTCGAGGGGGCCTGGGCCTGGCGCCTCGAGGTCTCTCCTGCCCCCCGAGGGGGTGGACAGGCCTCCCTTTTTCCCTTCGTGAAAGCGGCTTTTCTCCAGGTTCCTCATGCCTCGAGGGGGTCTGGGCCTGGCGCCCCCCCCCCCATGCGCTCGCCCCCCCCCCCCTCCGGGTGCCGCCGGGCGCGGCCCGGGCCGGGCCCGTGGCGCCCGCGGCCTGCGCACGCCCCTCGGGGGCCGAGCGCCCCCGGCGGGCCTTGCGAGGAGCGCCCCGCGCGGGCCGCGCTCGGAGGGCCGCCCGAGCCCCCCCAGGCCTGCGGGGCAACGACGGGCCTCGCCGAAGGAAAAAGGCACACGGCCGAGCGATGCCAAGCTCCAGTCGTGACTTCTTCTCATGCCTCGAGGGGGCCTGGGCCTGGCGGCCCCCCCCCATGCATCCGCCCCCCCCCCCCCCCCTTCGGGTGCCGCCTCCCCAGGCCTGATGGGGCAACGACAGGGGGGGGACGCGCACAAGGGGGTAGGGGGAGGGGGGAAGGCTCCTTAGAAGGAAGCTGCTTCTTAGAAGGCGCCAGCCTTACATCTACAAAGAAGGCCCGCGCCTTCTAAGAAGCAGGGGTGCTTCTGAGAAGCCTTCCCCCCTCCCCCTACCCCCTTCTGCGCGTGGCCAGGATAGGGGGGGACTGGCAGAGGGGGGGATGCATCGACCCGGAATCGGGATCGTGAACCCGCACCTTCATGGGCAGGTTGGGGCTATCAGGCCCAGATCGGCGATCAATACAATGAAAACGTATAGTAAGGACGCGTGGTAAGGACGCAAGACCCTTGGAGGCCGAAGTTGAAGTATTCTGGCATGCGAAAACTGCTAGGGACGGGCCGCAGAGGCTGAGGCAGGCAAGGACCCAAGGGTACCGCTGAAAAAGTCGTTTGTCCTTACTATGCGCGTTGACTGTTGACTGTAGGGGGGGATGCATCGACCCGGAATCGGGATCGTGAACCCGCACCTTCATGAGCAGGTTGGGGCCATCAGGCCCAGATCAGCGATCAATAGGCGATTGGGGGTCGACGCATCCCCCCCTATGCCTATCCCCCCTTATCGTTGCCCCCGAGGGGGCGCCTTCCCTGAGATCCGGCGCGGTACGCAAAAACGGACGAGCGAACAACACACACCCACACCCATACAGTGGAGGCCCGCCCACAGCCCAGACATGATCGCGTCGTTAAAGATCAGGGCGGAGGTTTTTGGCTGTTTTCGGCCCCAATGGGGCCCTCGCCGAGCCTCGGGACTCTCACAAAACGACTCAGGACGAAAAACGGGTCCTGGGAAAAGGGTCGGGACTTCTAGGGACCCCATATTCAAACAACCAGGACGTCGCATGTCTGGGAAGAAACCTTCCGCAAGAAACCCAACCCTGAGACCTCAGGACGCCCATGGATTCTTGAGATCGGAGCGTCACGCTTTCCATTGCAAGACCATCGAATCCCAAGAAACCCAGGGCATCCTGGAGCTCAGACCCCCGACGTAATGATTTTTTCGTTACGTCGACCCCCAAGAGGTCCCGACCCTTTCCCCAGGACCGGCTTTGCATCCCGAGTCGTTTTTTGACGCTCCCGAGGCCGGTGAGGGCCCCCGGAGGCCGAAAATTACGAAACTCCTTCCGTCATGACTATTTCATTACTCGAGGGGGTCTGGGCGGCAAGCAGGGTGTGTCTTGACATGGGGCTCCACTGCAGGGGGATCGGAGGGAGGAGATCTGGCTGTGGGTGTCGGCGCGGGTGGTCGAACCGCGGGAGAGGCGCCCGCTCTCTCTGGGAGCCCCATCTGGCAACACGCACCCACAGCCTTAGGTCGGGCACGTCCCCCGTACAGGTGGGATTTTGGACGAAAAAATCAAAATACCCTAAAAATACCCGCAAATAACCAAAACTGGTCCCAAAATCGTTCCCGGACTATTCTCTGACTATTTCTGAACATTCCTCCTGTAGAGGGGCAGGCCCGACTTAACCCTACGGGCATGGGGGTGCTGTTCGCTCGGCAGACACTGCAGCATGTGGGCGCGAATTCACAAAGGGGCAAAAAGTGTGCGTGTGTGCGTGTGTGTGTGTGTGTGTGTGTGTGTGTGTGTGTGTGTGTGTGTGTGTGTGTGTGTGTGTGTGTGTGTGTGTGTGTGTGTGTGTGTGTGTGTGTGTGTGTGTGTGTGTGTGTGTGTGTGTGTGTGTGCGTGCGTGCGTGCGTGCGTGCGTGCGTGCGTGCGTGCGTGCGTGCGTGCGTGCGTGCGTGCGTGCGTGCGTGCGTGCGTGCGTGCGTGCGAGCGAGCGAGCGAGCGAGCGCGCGCGCGCGCGCGTGTGTGTCTGTGTGTGTGTGTGCGTGTGCGTGTGCGTGTGCGTGTGCGTGTGCGTGTGCGTGTGCGTGTGCGTGCGCGTGCGCGTGCGCGTGCGCGTGCGTGTGCGTGTGCGTGTGCGTGTGCGTGTGCGTGTGCGTGTGTGTGTGTGTGTGTGTGTGTGTGTGTGAGTGTGTGAGTGTGAGTGTGAGTGTGAGTGTGAGTGTGAGTGTGTGTGTGTGTGTTCGGGGGGGGGGAGAGAGAGAGAGAGAGAGAGAGAGAGAGAGAGAGAGAGAGGTGTCTCCTGCCCTCTGGGCCCTAAGAGCCCCCTTCTTCGCCCTCTAGAGAGCCCTGAAGGGCCCCTCTTCGACAGCCCACGCTGCCCCTCCCAATTATCACCCCGCATCACGCGGCCCCCAAAGCATCGCGAAACAAACTCGACCGAACCCCGTATACCCCATCCTTCTGCGTCGTGTCTTGAGCCCGATCGATCCGTGAGGGTCGCAGGGCCTGAAACTGGGCATCATCGCCCGTTGCTGAACAAAACCTACACAAGGATATCAAGGTCATCGTCTTGTATCTTTCCCAACCATCCTGTGGTGTTTGGTCCTCGTTTTGAATAGACGGTCCCCGCATTCCTCCTCTCCTCATCCTTCCCCCCCTCCTCCCTCCTTCCGTCAACCCCCTCACTTCGGCACACCCCTCACACGCTTCGTGGCCCCATAGGGAGCTCCACCGAAGACCCCAGTGGCAGGGTTCGCACGCGTTTCCCCGCCCATTTCAGCACACCCTTCACACGGTTCGTGGCCCCGTAGGGAGGCCCGTCGAACGATGGACCCCGAACGCGGTATCCACAACTGCTTATGGTTGGGTCCTTCGCCAGGCTAGCTCAATATGAGGTCTCCAGAATATCAAATCATTTCACAAGCACCGGCTTTGCGTCCTGAGTCGTTTCCTGAGGATTCTGGGGCCCGGCGAGGCTCCCCGGAGAGGCCGATACAAAGCCTACCGTCGTGTTTCTGTCCACGTCGCGAGGGGGTCTGGGCATTCCAGTCATCCTCGGCGTCGACGTCGTCGTCTCGAGGGCCTCAGGGTTGGGCCAGGGACATCTCGGGCAACACCCGAGAGGTCCTCTCCCTGCGCCCCTGGCGCGGATTTCCTCGGCTCTGGGCGGCATGGGGCACTCCGGGCGGGAAGGTGCACGTCGTTCACTTCTAGTCGTGCTCACTTCGAACTGTGCCCGTTTCTGATGGTTCCCGGCCCCCTGATAACCAGGAAGAGGCCCAGGACAGAACAGCTAGAAAGGAGAGGATCTTGGCCCCCCAGAAAGTCAGACCCCCGACGTAATGATTTTTTCATTACGTCGACCCCCAGAGGTCCCGACCCTTTCCCCAGGACCGGCTTTGCATCCCGAGTCGTTTTTTGACGCTCCCGAGGCCCGGTGAGGGCCCCCCGAGGCCGAAAATTAGGAAAAACCTCCCGTCGTGATTTTTTCATTCCTCGAGGGGGTCTGGAGAGTCAAAGAACTTTCGAAGAATTCGAAGCGGACAGTGTGCAGAGGCCGCTGTGCTGTGCCGCGCGGCGACGTTCTCCGCTCGCCGCGCAGCTCGGAGGAGGGCACGACGAGACGACGGCGGCCCTCCCTGGCACTGTGTGTTGTCCTGCCTGGGCCAGCCGGAGGCCCGTCATCGCCAGGGCTGGGTTCGCCTCGAAACACCCAGACCCCCTCGAGTAATGAAAAAATCATAACGGGAGGTTTTTCCTAATTTTCGGCCTCCGGGGGCCCTCGCCGGGCCTCGGGAGCGTCAAAAAACGACTCGGGATGCAAAACGGGTCCTGGGGAAAGGCTCGGGACCTCTGGGGGTCGACGTAATGAAAAAATCATTACGTCGGGGGTCTGGGAACGGGTCAAGGCGGACCCCAGGATGGGTCTGGGGATCGAGTTCGAACAGAGTGCGGCCTTGGTGGGAGAGCTGCCGTTCTGCGCCGCAGGATCTCCGCGTACCCTGCCACCTTGGCGCCTCTGCTCCTTTAGAGCTGGACGTCTCCGCCCGCTTCCGAGGGCCCCTGGGACCCTCATAGGACGATCCGGTTCGAAAAATGGTGCAGGAAGTTGGGTGCTGGGGCTCTGGCTGTGATTGTTTGCGATGTTGAAATGCAGTGGAGGTTTGTCCACAAGAAATCCTCCACCAGAAACCCAGACCTGAGACCCCAGGATGTCCATGGGTTTTCGGTGTGGGAGCGTCGCGCTCCCCATCGCAGAACCCTCGAAACCCGAGAAACCCAGGGCACCCTGGAGGAGAGCAGGGTGTTTCTTGGCATGGGACCCCACTTGATGGGCCTGTTTTCCACCACCACCACTATAAGTTGGAGGGGGGGAAGAGGTGGAGGAGGAGGAGGAGGAGGAGGAGGAGGAGGAGGAGGAGGAGCCCCTCCCCCTCCCACTTATGGTGGTGGTGGTGGAAAACGTGCCCATCACCACTGCATGCGATGTTGCAACAGATTTGCTCGCGGCGTCGGATCTCAGGGCAGGCCGCCGAGCCGCTGCGCGAGGGCCGCGGGGGTCGCAGCCTGGGCCCGGTGGCGTCACTTCTGCAGCAGGGCCTTCAGGTCCGTGCCGCTCAGGACCTCAGTCTGCCGCGGCGGGGTCCCACGAGAATCCACGGGGTTGGCCTCGGACACCGCGTGGACCGCTCAAGGTTGGTCGCCAGCTTTGTGGGCCCCGGGAGACGGCAGGGCCGATTTTTCACCGTTTCCAAAAACATGCCCCTTGAAAATGGAAACGGCAAAAAAAAACGGCGACCGGAAACGGCAAAAAAACGGCTCCAGGACTGGTACTGGAGCCAGAACCGGTCAAAAAACGGCGACGGAACCGGTAACAAAACGGCGTCGGGGCCCGCAAAAAAACGGCAGAACGGAACCGGTAAACAAACGGCCCTGTCGTTTCCAGGGCCCACTAAGGTCGCCAGGCATGCTTTGTTTTGTTTTTACAAGTTTTGACTTTTCCTCCTGTGGAGGGGCAGGCCCGACTCGAAACGGGCCCTGGCGAGGAGGAGGAGGAGGAGGAGGAGGAGGAGGAGGAGGAGGAGGAGGAGGAGGAGGAGGAGGAGGAGGAGGAGGAGTTTTGTTTTTACAACTTTTCCTGGGAATCGACGATTACTTGTGTCTGTGTGTGCTTTTTTCCCCTCCTGATCAAGTTTGGTCGCCAGAGCGACGGTCCTTCGATCGCCGGGTCGTTCCCTCTTGTCCGATCTGGGGCCACTGGCGGCCTGCGACCTTTGTGGAAACCCATCGGAGAACATCTGGGGGAGGATGGCGGGGAAGATCAGGAGGAGGAGGAGAAGGAGGAGGAGGAGGAGGAGGAGCAGAATGAGGAGAGGAGGAGGAGGAGGAGGAGGAGGAGGAGGAGGAGGAGGCGCAGGAGGAGGAGGGGGTGGGGGAGGAGGCGCAGAAGGAGGGCGACCTCGAGCGCCCGCGGCGGGGTCGCCGCAGCGCCAGCACGGCGCGTGCCGACCGCACCGAGGCTGGCGGCGTGTGTCGGAGGGGGTGTGGCGAAGCGCCGGAGGCTTCCGGGGTGGCTCTTCTCAGAAGACTGGAGGGGCCTCCATGGAGACCTCAAGTACAGTCGGATGGCCTTTCTCAGACTGGAGGGCCTCCATGGGTGGCTCTTCTCAGACCGGAGGGCCTCCATGGAGGCCTCTCAAGTGCAGTCGGGGCGTTGACCTAAGGAACCCAAAATAAGGAACGAGGCCCCTTTTTCCCTTAAGTTAAACTCCGATCTTCCCTGGAAAACCTCCGGAAAACCCAAGGAACACTATAAAGCAACTAAGGAACACGGAGCCCCTCCCCCACGAAAAGGGCTCCTTTTTCAGGGCCCCGACTGTAGGGTCCGAGCAGGTGTGGTCCGAAGGTCGCGCCGCATCGGCGACGCATCGGTGACCCATCGGCGATGCGTCGGCGATGCGTCGGCGATGCGTCGCCGCCGTCCGCGCGGAGAGGATCGGGCGGCACGTCGAGCCGCATCGCCGATGCATCGGCGAACGCCTACTCGGATCCCACCCAGGAGGCTTCGACAAGCGGCCCTCAGACTTGTCAGGAGCGCCCCTCTAGACAAGCGGCCACCCTTGACAAGCACCCCCCCCGCCCCCCACCCGTGCGAAGGAGACGTTTTTCTGGGTGGCCTCCCATCACCATCGGGTCCTGGTGCCGTCGTCGTCGTTGACACGGCAGGGTTACCGCGATGCGAATCAGGAGTGCGTCTACACGATCCCCCTCACTTGTAGAACAAGACGAAGAAGGAAACGAAACAAAAACAACACCAACATAAAAGCTCAGAGCGGACCGCGCGGAATCCTTGGATCTGCGCTGAACCCCGTTCGCCGAAGGCGCCGCCAGGGGGGCCCCGCGCCGACCCGAGAAGTCTGCGCAGACCCTCAAACGATCATGACGACAAAGCCAGGACGAGGACAGAGTTGGGTGGGGACAAATCGAGAATCTATGGGATCCGGCGGTCCTGAGGATGTGCCGGGCGCCGCGGCCATCTCGGAGCGTTCTGGCAGGCTCTGAGAGCACTCCAGAACGCTCTAGAATGGATTCTCCTCGTCCTCGCCCCGTCTGGGTCATGTATGTGCAGGGGATAGCGATATTGGTACCTATGGTTTCCCCAGTTACGCTGTGGATGTGCAAGCTATGTGATGCAGGCTATGTGGTGCATGATACGTGGTGCAAGTTATGGGGTGCCATAGTTGTGGTTCAAGCCTTGTGATGCGAGCTATGTGGTGCAAGTTATGTGGGGCAAGTTGCGCGTTGCAAGCTATGTGGTGCAAACTACGCGTTGTACGCTATCCAAGACGGCTACGGCGAATCACTGCCGCCCCCTGCCCTTGTGGAAGCGCCTATGTGGCCGACAGCTGGGCTAGAACTTGCCCAAGCTATCGGGCCAGTTGTTCCCCGAGTCGGTTTTGAAAGCCTTCGGGGGACGCGTGGGAGAGCAAGAGGTTTGAACTCATTCATGTGTCCGAGCGTTGTGGTAAGAGCTCCGCCAAGCTATCGGACCATGTGTTCCCACAACCTTGGTGGAATCCCATCGGAGAACATCTGAGGAAGGATGGCAGGGAAGATCAGGAGGCGGTGGAGGAGCAGAATGAGGAGAGGAGGAGGAGGAGGAGGAGGAGGAGGAGGAGGAGGAGGCAGAGGAGGAGGAGGAGGGGGTGGGGGAGGGGAGGAGGAGCAGGGGAGGAGGAGGAGGAGGAGGAGGAGGAGGAGGAGGAGCATCAGCGTAAACCCCAGAGTCACCAACGATGTTAGAATACACCCACCCTCCAAGCTCCCAGGTCATGGGCCCCTACACCGGATCAGTTGCATTGAGGGAACTGCCCCGTTGGAAGACAACCGTTTGAAAACCCTGAAGCATGCCAAAACATGATTCTCGGGATTCCAATGCCACGGATCAACCTGACTATTGCCTGTTGACGATCCTGAAGCTTACTAGAACGCAATTCCTGGGACTTCAACACAACGACTCAACATACGTGTTGCGCCCGCGAATTCTGAACCCTTTCAAAACAAAAGTTCTGGTACGCTGATGATGCGAATCCGTGAAACTCTTCCCTCTCCCAAATGTTGAAAACGAGTGCGCGCGGCGCTAAAAAGAGAACAACATTGTGAAAAATAACTGCCCTCGATCCGTGAAGCTCTTGCACAAATTTGCAAACTAATGTGCGCCGCGCTAAAGCGATAAACACATTTGGAAAACGACCCACTCTCAATCCGTGAAGCTCTGGCGAATTTTGCAAAATGAATGCGCGCTGCGCTAAGGCGAGAGCCACATTCTGAAAAAGACCCGCCCTCAATCAGTGAATCGCTTGCAATTGTTTAAAACGAATGTGCGCCGCGCTAAGGCGAGAGCCACAGTTTGAAAACGGCACGCCCTCCATCTGTGAAACGGTTGCCTACTTCTAAGCTTCAGTATCAGAAACGGCGAGGAAGTCTCAGGCGAAACGCCCGGCCCGCCCTAAAAAACAGCCTCGGGGTGCGGCAGGGAGTAATTAGCTACAAGGAAAAGGCATGGAGAAGGAGGAGGAGATGGAGGAGGAAGAGGAGGAGGGGGCATCTTGGGAGCCTCTGGGTGCACTCGTTGGACCTACTGGAAGCTTCCTGGGAGCCTCTTGGAGGCATCTTAAGGGCCTCCTTGGGCCTCTTGGGTGCCTTTGGGGGCTTCTTGGGGGCCTCTGTGGCCGTCTCAGGACAGTCCTGGACCGTCCTATTCCGTCGGAAGCCATCTTGGGGGCCTCTCTGGGCCGACTTGAGGCCCTCTTGGGTGCTCCAGGGCCGTCTTGGAGGCCATCTTGGGCGTCTTGGAGGACTCTTGGGCCGTCTGGGGGCCCTCTTGAGGCAGTCTTGGGGGCCTCTTGGGCCGTTCTGGGGCCGTCCTGAACGCCTCTCGGGCGATCTTTGGGGGCTATTGGGCCGTCTCGGGCCGTCGGAATGCCGAACAGAAGCAAGTGACAAAGACCTTCAAAAACCTCAAAAGTAAATCAATGATTTGGGCACCGTCGGGCCTTCCTGGAAGCCCTCTCGGAGGCCTCTTGGGCCGTGTTGGTGGGCTCCTGGTCCGCCTGGCGCCATCAGAAACTGTCTCTTGGCCGTCCTGGAGGCCATCTTGGGCGTCTTGGAGGCCTCGTCGGCAGTCTTGAGGCCCTCCTGGGGCGGTCATGGGGGCCTCGTGGGCCGTTCAAGGGCCCATCTTGGAGGCCTCTTGGGCGATCTTGGGACGACCTTTGGGTACGCTTGGGCCGTCTCGGGCCGTCGGAAGGCTGAAAAGAAGCAAATGGCAAAATCCATCAAACACCTAGAACGAATCAATGATTTTGGCCTCTTCGGGCCTTCCTGGAGGCCCTCTTAGAGGCCTCTTGGGCCGTCTCGAAGGCTCCTCCTGCTTGCTTCCTCTGTCTCTGAGCCACGCGCACACGCCGAATCTTGCGCACAGCGACCCCCTCTGCATGCGCAAAGAAACTCACAGACCCTGGGCCAAGCTTGCGAGAAGCTGCTGGAGACACGCAGGGCTAGAACAACGAGATACGGTTTCTTGATGGCCGGCGCACCTGCGCCTGCTCCTCTGGATCCTCCTCCTCCCCCGCCTACTTCCTCGCCCTATGCTCACGGCCATCCGTCTTCTCTTCTCTTCGTCCTCGAACTCATCACTGTCGTTCTCCGCGCCCTCGTCCTCGTGGTCGTCGTCCTCCTCCTCCTCCTCCTCCTCCTCCTCCTCCTCCTCCTCCTCGGCCTCGTCTGCGACGGCGGGGTCCTCCACGCCGTGAGGAGGAGGAGGAGGACGAGGAGGAGGAGGAGGAGGAGGAGGAGGAGGAGGAGAAGGAGGAGGGGCGGAGGAGGACGAAGGGGAGGAGGAGCGGAGGAGGAGTGGCAGGAGGAGGAGGAGGAGAGGAGGAGGAGGAGGAGGAGAAGAGAAGAGGAGGAGGAGAAGGAGGAGGAGGAGGAGGAGGAGGAGGAAGAGGAGGGAGGAGGGAGGGAGGGAGGGAGGGAGGGAGGGAGGGAGGGAGGGAGGGGGAGGGAGGGAGGGAGGGAGGGAGGGAGGGAGAGAGAGAAAGCAAGAGGAGTAGGAATAGGAGTAGGAGTAGGAGTAGGAGGAGCAGGAGGAGGAGGAGGAGGAGGAGGAGAAGGAGGAGGAGGGAGGGAGGGAGGGAGGGAGGAAGAGCGAGAGAGAAAGCAAGAGGAGTAGGAGTAGGAGTAGGAGTAGGAGTAGGAGCAGGAGGAGGAGGAGGAGGAGAAGGAGGAGGAGGAGGAGGAGGGGGAGGAAGAGCTCGGGCGCCGAGTCCCCGGCCATGGCGCCCGCCGCGAAGAGAAGCACGACGACGGCAAGGACGGCCAAATTCTGCTCGTCCTGGACGACGACGGCCATGCCGTACGACTACGACGACGACGTCTCGACGACGGCGGGCGAGATCTCCAGAAACCTCCAACTCAGCGCGCGGACGCCTCTGGGACGCTCCCAGGAGGAGGCCCCACCGGAAGCCACCCCGAACGCCAGTACGCCCGATTCGACAACGACGACGACGCCGATGCTGACGACGACGACGACGACGACGACGACGACGACGACGACCAGCAACAACCCAGGAACAACATCCTCCGACGTGATGCTTTCAGTCCAGGGGCCCCAGAATTCCCGACCCCTTCCCTGGGGATATTTTTTCGTCCCAAATCCAGTTATACTGTCCCTGGGGCCCAATGACGGGCCGAACTGAAGAGAACAATCCTGGGTTGGAGAGAACACGGCTTCGGAAATCTCGAACGAAGACGACAACGGCGACGGCGGCGGCGGTGGCGACGACGAAAACGACGACAAAGACGACGACGACAATGACGAAGGAAATAGAGAGAGGACGACGGATGACGACGAAAATAGCAATACCGCTACTCCCCGCACCGGAATTTGAAAAAGAATGCGCTGGGGGTGACGAGTGCCTCCCAGGAGGCCCCAAGACGGCCAACACGAACGACCAACGCAGAAAAAAAACACGTCGAAATCCGAAACCCGACATCTGGGGACGACGACGACGACGTCGACGTCGATGGCCAGGGCGTCCTGGGCGCCCTTCGCCGCGGGGGGGTCCGCGGCCTTCGCCGCCGACGAGAGGCTCGCCTGCGCCTGCGCCGCGGCCTTTGCCTCGGCGACGGCCTTCCTCGCCTTCTCGGCGGCGGCCTTCGCCGCCTGGAGGGCTCGGACAATAAGAACGTGATCGCCACAAAACATGGGCGCGCCACTACTCGCAAAAAAACCGCTCGCAAATGGCCTGGACCCGCCGTTGGGGATTTACGAGCAGGCACTTTGCGAGCAGTGGAGCGCGCGCTCGGTGAACCGCGGCGAGCCGAAACGCACGGTACGTTCGCAACGTGCCGATCCTGGTCTTGGTCCCTGACGACGCGGGGATGGTTCGACCATGAACAACTGGGCATCGCTCGGACATCCATTCCCTGTTTCGGTTTCGTGCGTGGCTTTTCCGCCAAATGATCAAGGATGCTCCTCGATGGTCCTCGCCGAATGACACATGCACACGCCCGAACGATGCCATGAACACTCGGCACGCTTCCGAAACGCCGGGGGCCGTCCGACCGCAGGCCGGTTCTGGGCCACGGGCGGCGCTCGACCTCGAGAGCCCGCGCTGGGGTCGCCGCTGGCCGACACGACGCGAACCTACAGTCGGGAGTGATAGGATAGGACACGCGATAGGACGCACGATCCTTCCGAGGGCCACATTGCCATAGGAATGTAGGAGGCACGGGTCGCGACACACAGGGCGCAAGGGTACCCTTGATTAGCAGGGTCGACCAACCAATCGACTTCGACTGTAGCGTACCAGTGCGCGGGCCACTCCCAAACACTAAACGTCCAGCGCGTCTAAGCAAGGCCCATGCTCCAGGCGCCAAAATCACACTCCCAGACTCCGGCCGATCTGATTGCGTGGGCCCCGGAATTCTCACTTCCCTAGAGCCGGTTTTTCGCCCTGACTCGTTTTTGTAAGGTCCCGGAGCCTAGCGAGGACCCCCGGAGGCCGAAAATGGCCCACCAAATATTAGGTCGGGCGTGTACCCGACAGGCGGATTTTGGACGGACAAAAAAAAACAATAGTCAAACAATATTCCAAAATGCAAAAAAAAAAGTTGAACAAATCGTCCCCATGCTATTCTTTGACTAGTTTTGAATATTCCTCCTGCAGAGGACAGGCCCGACTTAACCCAAAGACCGCCACTCCAAGTTTTTTGGAGCGTCGGATCTCAGGGCTTTGCAATCAGAGGCACGCCAGCCTTTCAACCTGCCGTCCCAGATGGGCGCTGACACATGTACGTGGCGCGCACCCAGCCAGCAGCACAACCATACACACATCACAGCCTGGGAGAAGGAGCAGCAGCGGCAGGCAGGCCAACAAAAACAACGCCGAGCCACAAGTTGTTCGCTGAAGGCAGGAGTTTCTGCCGTCAAAAAATGCGTACATGTAGAGCAGAAAATGCCTTCGGTGCAACATGCTTGTTCTCCGCTGAATGATGCCTTCCGTGCGGCTGGCTAGCTGGGGTGGCCCATCCGGCAGCGTCCGCATCCTCGGGCACGGACGCGTCTAGTGAGGCTGCCCGTGCAGGAGGAGGCCTCCCGCGCAGGAGTTACCCCACGCCGACCAGTAGCGCCTCCAGGCAAGAGAGGGAGGATGAGGAGGGGCACGGCCGGACGTCGTCGTCGCCGTCGCCGTCGCCGTCGCCCTCGTCGTCGTCATCGACGTCGCCGTCGACGCCGTCGCCGTCGTCGTCGCCGCCGTCGCCGTCGCCGTCGCCGTCGCCGTCGCCGTCGCCGTCGCCGTCGCCGTCGCCGTCGTCGTCGTCGTCGTCGTCGTCGTCGTCGTCGTCGTCGTCGTCGTCGTCGTCGTCTTCGAGATGGGCTGGGGAGGGGAAAGGATGGACCACTGCGCAAGCGGCTTAGGAGTGCGGGGCCCGGGAGCCGCAAGCGGGGTCGAGTGCAGGAGGCCTTCGCATGGTCACGTGTCTCGGTGGCGAGCACAGGGGGGGAGTCACAAGGAGAAGGAGCGCGTTTCTGCAGTTTCGCCGATAATGGGCAATATAAGGGGAGGGGGCCAGGGAGGGGTATAATGTAACGCGTCCCCCCCGCCGTGCGCACGGCGGCAGTGCCCGGAGCGCACTGGGGGGGGGGGGGGGGGGGCGTTACGTGAATTAAAGGGGGGGAGGGTGGCCGGGAACTATAACGCCCATTATGTCATTATGTCTCAAGCAAAAAAACACGCAAGTAGGCCTTCTGAGGAGGCGGCGGGACTTCTCAGACGCCCTCGCGCGTTCTGAGAAGTGTTCTGTCTTCGGGGAAGGTTCAGGAAGCTTCTCAGATGGCCGGGGGGGCTTCCGAGCATTCTGAGATCGAGGGCCTGGCCCTTCTCGTCCCCCCCCCTGGCTGTCAGCCGATCGTCGCCCCGATCCTGATCACGTTCCTTCTACTTCTCCTCGTTCGTGGGAGCGGGGTGCGGGGGGGGGAGCGGGGGGGGGGGCAGTCAACGCGTGCACAACCGAAACCATGCCCATCAAAAAAATTCATTTGAGAAGCCTGGGCCAGCTTCCCAGAAGCTTCTTGAAACAGGGCTGGGCCACAAGGTTTCGCGTCAGTGACGTGGTAAGATGGGGCGACCGTGCTCGCGAACCTGGGCCAACTTTCTGGCACGTCGGTCAAGAAACGCCGGGCAAGGCTGGGGAGGTTTCCTACTCGGACGCTCAACTGTAGTGATGACGCACGGTGAAGTGGAGGCCAGCCCACGAGAAACCTTCCACAGGACACCAAAACACGAGACCGCAGGACGTCCATGGCTTTTTGGTGTGGGCACGTCGCGCTTCCCATCGCAGAACCCTCGAAACCCAAGAGGCAGGGGCACCCTGGACCTGGAGGCAAGCAGGGCGTTTCTTGGCATGGGCCCCCACTGCAGTCAAACGCTGGACTGTAATGCGGACGCGCGGTAAGGCCGCAAGCGCCTTGGGCGCCCAAGTGGAAGCTCCTCGAACTCGGAACTGCCTCGGACTAGGCCGAGAGAAGCCAAGGATGCGCGTGTACCCTTGGGACTTCCACTCCACCTTAACACCATGCGCGTTGAGTGCTAATTAGTGAGTAGAAAAGGGGAAGGAGGATGGAGGGGGGGGCGGGGGACGGGGACAGGAGAGGCCAAGAACGAGAAGCAGGAGGAAGATCAGGGGGAACATCAGTGGGGGAAGGGGGAGCGAGGAGGGATGAAACAGCAGGATAATGTAAAGAAAAATGTAAAGGCCGTTGGGAGTCCATGGTGCTTCAAGCTTGAAGCCTGAGAGCGGGCCCCTGGGAGTAATATGGAAGCAGCCCCCCTGAACCGAACGCTTGTCGGCCCGAGGGACTGCCTGGGGCCGGCTCCTTTCGCTGCTGCAGCACTGCTGCGGGCAGCGCGAGGAGGAACTGAGGCGGAGCTGGACGAGGAAGTGGGAAGCAGGAAAACGGTTCCGGGCGAACGAGTGCGCGCCTATTCTCGCGGTTGTTCTGGCATGTGCATCGATGAATGGGCCCGTCCGTACCCTCTGGAGGCTTCCTCTTTGCTAACGTCGTCATCACTGCCGCCATCGCGACAACCAGCACTAACTTTCCAAAACCATCGTCGCCGCCGTCATCCTCATCGAGTTTGTCGGCGCCATCGTCTTGCCGGCACGTTAAGCTGCCTGTCTAGGAACAGCTAGCTGATGCGACTTGTTGCGCGCACGTTGGGCATGCTAG